CCGTCACGCCCTGCATCACCCTTCCGTCACGCCCTGCATCACCCTTCCGTCACGCCTTGCATCAACCTTCCGTCACGCTCTGCATCACCCTTCGTCACGCCCATGCTGCACCCTTCGTCACGCCTGCATCACCTTCCGTCACGCTCCTGCCATCACCCTTCGTCACGCCCTGGCATCACCCTTACCGTCACGCCGCTGCATCACTACCTTCCCGTCAGCCCCTGCATCACCCTTCCGTCACGCCTGCATCACCGCTGCCGTCACGCCCTGACAATCACCCCTTCCGTCACGCCGCTGCATCACCCTTCCGTCACTGCCTGCATCACCCTTCCCCGTCACGCCCTGCATCACCTGGCCGTCACGCCTCATCACCCTTCGTTAACGCCTGCAATCAGCCCTGCGTCACCCCCTGCATCACCCTTCCGTCACGCCCTCATCACCACTCTGCGTCACTCCCTGGCATCAGCCCTGCCGTCACGCCCTGCATCACTCCGTCACGCCCTGGCATCCACCCTGCCGTCACGCCCTGCATGCACCTTCGCGTCACGCCCTGCATCAAACCTTGCGCGTCAGCGCCCTGCAATCACGCTTCCGTCACGGCCTGACATCAAACCTTCCGTCACGCCCTGCATCAAGCCTTCCGTCACGCCTGCATCACGCCTTCCCGTCACGTCTGCACACCCTTCCGTCACGCCCTGCATCACCCTGCCGTCACGCCCTGCATCACCCTTCCGTCACCTCTGCATCACCCTTCCGTCACGCCCTGCATCACCCTTCCGTCACGCCCTGCATCACCCTTCCGTCACGCCCTGCATCACCCTTCCGTCACGCCCTGCATCAACCTTCCGTCACGCGGCTTGTATGCAACTCTTCGTCACGCCCTGCATCACCCTGCCGTCACGCTCCGCATCAACCTCCGTCACGCCCTGCATCTCGCGCTTCCGTCACGCCCTCATCACCCTTCCGTCACGCCCTGCATCACCGCTGCCGTCACGCCCTTTATCATCCCTTCCGTAAAACCACGGCTCTGCATCCAGCCCTTCCGTCCTCACCTGCATCACCCTTCCGTCACGCCCCTGGCATCCCCGCTTCCGTCTATCTCTCTCTTGTCATCAAACCTTCCGTCACGCCTTGTTATCAACCTTACCGTCACGCCCTGCATCACCCTGCCGTCACGCTCTGCATCACCCTGCCGTCACGCCCTGCATCAACACTTCCGTCAGCGCCTCTGCATCACCCTTACCGTCACGCCTTGCCATCAACCTTCCGTCACGCCTCTGCATCACCCTTCCGTCAACGCCCTGCATTCACCGCTTCCGTCACGCCTGCATGCACCCTTCCGTCACGCTCTGCATCCACCCATCCGTCACGCCTGCATCACCCTTCCGTCAGCGCCCTGCATCAGCCTTCGCGTCAGACGCCGCTGGCATCACCCGCTCCGTCACGCCCTGCATGCACCTGCCGTCACGCCTGCATCCCACCTTCGTCACGCCCTGCATCAACCTTCCGTCACGCCTGCATCACCCTTCCGTCACGCCCCTGCATCACCCACTGGCGTCACGCTCTGCATCACCTTCTTTGCCTCGTGCACCGCGCTGCATGCACCCTGGATCGTCACTCTCCCTGCATCACCCTGCCGTCACGGCCCTGCATCACACCGCCGTCACGCGCCTGGCATCACCCTGCCGTCCCAACGCCCTGCATCACCCTCCGTCACGCTCTGGCATCAACCTTTCCGTCCACGCCCTGCATCACCCTTCCGTCACGCCCTGCATCACCTCGTTCCGTCACGCCCTGCCATCAACCCTTCCTCACTCCCTGCATCAGCCCTTCCGTCACGCCCTGCATCACACCTTCCGTCTACGCCCTGGCATCAACCTTCCGTCAGCGCTCTGCATCATCCCTGCCGTCACGCGCCTGCATCACCCTTCCGTCACGCTCTGCCATCAAAACCTCGTCACGCCCTGCATCAACCCTTCGTCACGCTCTGCATCAACTTCCGTCACGCCCTGCATCAACCCTTCCTCACGCCCTGTCCATCAACCTTCCGTACGCTCTGCATTCAACCTTCCGTCACGCCCTGCGATCACCCTGCCGTACCGCCTGCATCAGCCCTTCCGTCAACGCCTCTGCATCAACCTTCCGTCACGCTCTGCATGGCATACTTCCCGTCACGGGCCGCTGCATCAACCGCTGCCGTCACGCCTGCATCACCCTGCGTCACGCCTGCATCAACTTCCGTCACGCCCTGCATCCAACGCTTCCGGTCACGCCTGGCATCACCTGCCGTCACGCCGCTGCATCACCCTGCGTCACGCCCTGCATCACCTGCCGTCACGCCCTGCATCACCCTTGCCGTCACGCTCTGCATCAACCTCCGTCACGACCCTGCGCATCACCCTTCGTCACGCTCTGATCAAACCTTCCGTCAACGCCCTGCATCACCCCTTCCGTCACGCCCTGCATCAACCTTCCGTCACGCCTGCATCAACCTTCCGTC